CACCATCCTCCCCACTCCCATCTTCTTCAAACCATTTAATTCCCTATTATCTTATTTCTAAGAAAAGTTTGAAAACAGAATTTATAAACAAAATGGTAGTTTCTGTTTCATAACTTCAAAGTCCAAGATGTTTCACAACTCTGAAGCCTTCAAGAACTCAATGTGCATGAGCCATAAATGAGCTCTCATTAGTTCCCTAGGCTCAATGCATAAGTTATAAAATGGAAAGTAATAAAAATGTAAACTAAAACAGTAAGTTGATCAAAATTACATGTAGTTTCTATTTCAGTTTCTTCATGCTAGCCAGCTTCCCGTTTCTGGTACTATACAGAAAGGTAACTGGTTTTTGTAGTATTATTCTAAATTATTTCTTTGCAAAACATTGCCTACCTCACAGCAGCAGATGGTTCAGTGATGAGGGCAAGTTCGAACTATAATATTTGGTTAGAAATGCTGAAAGTCCCCAGCCTAGGTTCTTCCTCATCTCTCTGAACTATAGAAAAATCTAAAGGGAACACAGAATAGAGTTTCTCAATCCCTCTCCCATTCCTAAATTGGGATGTCTTGATTCCAATTATTATTCCAGCCTCAGCAAAGAACAATTAACCCTTAACACTGATGTGATTCTAGTATAGCTATATGCTACTTTCAGAACATAGCAAAAATGATGTGAATAAGAGTTTAAAAAATATATATATATATAAATATATCTCAGAGAATTAGAGGCCTCTTTAATTAAACAGTATGTCCTTGTTTGTTTTCAAATTTGAGGCCAAGAATTGAATCTTGTAAAAGTATCCCTCTATCTTTGGGCATTCAAAAATCACAAAAACATTTACAAAACATGAGCGATCTGAGGAACAATTAACTATAAAAGGAATCCAGTAGCTGGATTATCAAGCTATAAAAAGAGAAATATTAAAAGACACTCAAATTATTATACTCAAGAATTTTGAGTATGAAGTTTGTTATGTTTTCCAAAAAAGTAAAGACTCTTAAGGTGGCTAATGCATTTCATTTTGTTTTATTGTTTTTCCAGTTTTGTTTTGTTTTTTGTTTTTTTTGTATTCTTCCCAGATTCACCATTTAGTAACTTTT